TTCACTAATTCACAGTTTCAAGTGAGTTACTTTGATATTAAATATTTCATTCAATTCTAAATGGTTTTTGATAAATAAATATATCACATTCATCACCTTACGGAGTAGAGTATGAATATGCTAGGTCCCATATTAATTAAAATATGAGTCCCACTGAAATTTGGGTCCAGAGTTGACCAATTTCATACCATTTTCTAACAATCATTCCAAGCAGTAATAAATTTTATCTAGAGGAGTCTGAAAGTCGGGGAAAATTCCCAAGGAACATGATTGATAAGAGCACTGTTGTTTTGCAGAGGTGAAATTTGAAAAAGAATAGAAAAGAACACTATTTCTTTATTTAGATGATTTATTATTTTTTATTATTTTTTTTCCTTCCATTTCGTTATCTAAGTCAGAAACTGACAAATCTTATATAAAATAGATAATTAATTTTTAGGAAATTTGCAGCGGAGGTCTCGAACCTTTCAAAACATTGCAGATTACACTCAAACCTTTAAATCGTAGCATATAGCTCCCAAACCTTTCAAAATTATACATACGGCGAAAGGATTTCTGGATACTGGTTGTGTCTTACAAGACTGTGGAGCATGGAATCTGTAAATAAAGTCAGTGTTTCATTATATTCATTCTGGTGATCAGACTATAACATTGGTCTTCCATTAGTTATGCTGTCCAACCTCAAGGCAGATTGAACTTCTCTACTTCGGTATCATTTCAAACACAAAGGTGATTTTGTTTGTGCATCAATGATGGGATATGGCCACTAGAAATCCGAGATTTTTTATTTTTTATTTTTAAGTTTTATCATACTTCTGTGTAGATAAGTATATATCATGTAAATATTGATGTAAATAATCTATTCATGCAAGCTATGTAATTTAATTATCAATAGTTGTGGTTTAATAGTCCTAAAAGTGGCCAAACTTCAGGGTGTTAAGAATGTTAAATTACATAATATATATTATAAAATTATTGTACAGGATATTTATGTTCACGCACACACATAGTATAGAATTTCATTGGTACATAGTACATGACATAAGGGTGGGGGATAGACAACGAGTTTCTTGTACAATTACTTTGCAACGTCTATGCTTATCAGAATTCAATGAACAATGGTAATGATTTCAAATGTGAAAACCATAAACTTATAAGATTCTGTTATTGATCAAGTATAATCTTTAATAATTTGTGTTCAATGATTTTTTTTCCTTCTTTGAATTGCTTCGATAGCTAACATCTACTTAATATCAGGCTCCTCTAGATTTTTTGTAAAATAAACTTCTTAGTTAATGTAAGATTACCATATTTCTTGCTTCTCATTTCAATACTAAAAGTTTTTCTTCTTCCTTTTTCATGCTACACGTAATTATTTTATGTGCCAAGATACATTTCTTATGGTGCTTTTCATGTGACAGCTGCTTGCTTGATGGTAATCATGCTGTAGCACTGGAATTTTTGGTGGTCAGCAACTTTCCATCTAAGTACACTATGGGAACTAGAGTTCCTCAAGAGTCGAGGTCCAGTCGGTAGCCTGTTGGTTTTTGGACAAATATCCTGCACAAACAATTCCTTTTACGAAATTTTGATGTTTTTCTTATAATTAGGCTTGGGCGCGAGTCGGTTCCGAACCGAACCGAATAAAAAATTTCGGGTATTTAGTAAATAGAAATGTCGGGTCCAAATATAATTATGGAACCGTTCGGGTTCGGTTTCGTTCGGTTCTATACTATAATTAAATTTTTTAACATTTATAACAACCTACATAAATACAACTAATAACACATTCAATCGTAATTTTATAAATTAACGTAATCCAATTTAACGTGTATATAACAAGTTGTCCAACAAGATTAATTTACCAATCACATATAGGGAAGTTTACACACTACCTTATTCAAATGATCAACGGTCGAAGGTCGCCATCGGAGCCCGGAGGTCATAGCTTCGGACTCGGAGTCGGATGTTCTATACATTCATTTGAGTTTTGGAATGTCAGATGTGTTATGTGTAGGTGATAATGTGTGTAATTTATTTAGGGTTAGTCATTAGTGGGTTGGATCACTTGGATGTTGGGCTAAAAAATGGAAGAATAAAAACTAAAAATGGCACTTGGGCTAAAAATTAAAAAATTAGAAATTAAAAAATTAGAAATAAAACAAATAATTGGGCCAAAAAATTGGATTTAGAAATTGGTTGGGTTAGGTCAAGCTAGCTAGGCTAGGGCTTAGGAGATAAAGTATCAATTAATTACCTAATTTGTTAATTTGTTTAAAAAAAATTAAAATAATTTGATTTATTCAATATAAAAAAAATAAAAATTAGGAATATTCGGTTCTTTAGTTCTTGGTCTAGAACCGAGAACCGAACCGTACCCGTCGATTTTTAATTCAGATACCCGTTCGAATATTTAACTTGAGAAAAATCGTCAGGTTCGATTCGATTCGATTCGGGAGATTTGTCCAGCTCTACTTATAATTGAACTTCAAGAAAACTATCTTGATACTTGTAACAAATGTAAAGGTTCATAAATCTCTGTCTTGAACTTTCTTTTATTCCACAGTTCTTTTTCTTTCTATTAGCTAGCTAGCCTTAGTAGCCTAGTTGCCTTCTTGCATTTTTTGTAAGCAGATTATAAATTCAATGTATAAATAAAAAATTATTAATCGATTATAAACAGATTATAAATATGCGCCAGCGAAAGATAATAAATTATCAGGAAACAAAAAAAAATGGTAAATAGAGAGGTACAAAGTCGGTCGATTCCATATAACCTGGTTTCACATTCTTTACAAGCCCAATCTATGCTGCACGGAAACGGAAACCGAAAACGAAACGGGACAAGACACAATAGACACGACACAGAAAATTGCTATTTTTGAAAAAAGTAGGACATGAAACGTTGAGAAACGCTATACTAAAATAATTAATTTAATTTCACAAAATCGATATTCAACTTCAAAACATTGTATAATATAAATTAAATAACAAAAAATTCACAATCTATCTAATTTAACTAAAATCTTGACATAAAATCATTGTTGTCTCAAAAGTCATGAAACAATTATTAATAATGAATCAATACTCAAAGTAAAAAAAAAATAAAAAAATAAAAAAATCACCAGTCCTCAAATCAATTTTGTTCAGCTACATCATCACCATCATTATCTATAACCCCATAATCATCATTAAATAACATAGCCTCCGTCTCTGGTTCATCTAAAGAAAGATTTGCAATATCAAGCATTTCAACATCTTCAAAAGACAAGACGTGTTCGGCAGGCATCTTGGTTTGCAGCTTACAACATTAGTGAATTGTGGATGTTAACTTGAATAATCAACCCAATAACGTGAAATTTAATTATTGGTAGTCATGGGAGAGATTTATTTTAATTATGACTTTCTTTGATTGTCCACGAGAAATTTTGCAGTTTCAAGCGTATACAAATATTTTGTATTGTGCGAAACCCGACTCGACATTGGCTACTACGCATTGTAAGAGCATTTATGTGACTAATGTGATTAATAGATGGAAACTCAAAATGAAATGATTTAAGAGCATTTCTAAGAAATTCTTTAAATACAAAATATTCTCTATTTTAAAGAGTCAATACTTAAAAATGAGTTGTAAAAGACTCTCTATTTTAACATTTTAAAATAGAGAGTGTGTTTGACTCTTCAAATTTAGAGAGCGAAACTTACTCTCTAATCTTAATGTATAATGATTGCAATTTAATACATTACAAATTTCAATACTCTACAATTTAAAATTTTCAAATTACATATGATTGAGTGGTCATTAATACATATACATATATATATATATATACACTTCAATAAAATATGTGAAGAAATTATTAAATGTTCATTGGGAAAAAATAAATAAATAATCAAAGTATAGAGCTTGTTAGAGTGTATAAAAAAATTACTCTCTAAATTTAAAGATGTTTTCTATTATGCATAAGATGCTTTATATAAATAAAGAGTTTTTTGGAGATATTCTAATAAAGTTATGCTTAATTTTGTTATATGCATTGTCATGAATTAAAATGATGGATTAATGAAATTCTAAAATAAGAACATGTTTGGTAGAGATTTTAATTCAATTAAGATCAATTTTTTTACAGTTATTTTACTATTCTGATCGTCATTTTTGAATTCTTCTCTCACGGGTAGGATCCATTTTATTTCTAACGGTCAAAAAATCAATTAACAAAATTCCTACCAAACAAGCACTAAGAAAGTTTAATGTAAGAGCTTTATTTATATTTAATTTAATGAATGAATGAATGCGATGAATATACACTCTGATTGCTATAAGAGGAATATGAGTCCTCTCTCGTATTAAAATGTACTAATTGCTGGAAATTGCAATGCACGACGAAGTTAGGGTAAGGAAGAGGGATAAAGCCCCTTCAGGGGGGCCCACAGGTATACCAGGGCACAAGTGGCCTTGGTAACAAGGAGGGTCCAAGGAAGAAAGTACATTTTCTTATACGATTGCTTGGCAATTGTCGACACTCGAAAATTCAATGGAAAACAAAGTTACATTTTATTTCTTTGTAGTTTGATACATGAATATTTTTGAAATTCTAACATCTTGAAATATATTTATGCGTCATTCATGCAAGTCAACTGAATGACTAACATGCTTGACATAATTTACACTATATATGGATAGTCGTTCTCTTAGTGCATAAAAACATTCAAGGCAATTGAAATTATTGTAATATAATAACAATTATCGGCCCTCCATGAAATATTCGGTTAGCCTAGGGCTCCAAATATATCGTAAGTTAAATCGGTATTGATGAATAAACAACCTGTAATGAACAGGGAAGATTTAGTGATGCTATGAATGATCCAATATTCAGTATTGAATAGTGACAATAATATTAGAAAAAGAACATTTTTATATATTTCCAAACATGTTCAGTTTCACATATTTGTACAGTCAAAGGGAACGATTATTCTCTTTACCTCAAGGTTGCATTTCCTCATCATGAGATAAATTCTTAAAAATACTCATAAATACAAGTTGCAGCAAAAGATATAATTATTATGTGGTGTTTTTTTACTTTCAAAGCAAAGATGTGGTCTATAAAGAGTCTCCATACCCAGAAAGCTATAAAGAATCCAACGGTTGACGAATACCCAATCGCGGAAACACGGAGCCGCTATCGCCCAATACTTTGGAATCCAAGCCCCTCCTCAGCCACTGTCTACTTAACTTAACTCTAGTTAAGTAGAAAAAACTTCAACCCTACTCTTCTTCCCCAAGTCTCCCCTTCTATCTTTATATATCCACCCTTCATTTTACTTTTCAACCCGTTTTCTCTCTCACTCTCTGCGTCGACTCGTTCCCTGTAAATTTTCTTCATGCCCTCCTCATAAGTGATAAGAATAATTGATAACTTGAAAAGTAAAGGAGATGAGCTGCAGTGGATGCCGAGTTCTACGAAAGGGATGCAGTGAGAGCTGTATTCTTAGGCCTTGTTTGGAGTGGATTGAAACTAGTATGCCCAAAGCAACGCCACCGTTTTTGTAGCCAAGTTCTTTGGCCGTGCCGGCCTCATGTCATCTATTTCTTCTGTCCCAGATAACCAAAGACCAGGTAACTTTTTCTGGAGTTTTGTCAGAATTTGAAGAATATATTTTGAAAACGAAACCAAAATTGCGTGTCTACAGATGTTTTTCAGTCGTTGTTATTAGAAGCTGCTGGACGAACAGTAAATCCGATGAATGGAGCTTTAGGGCTTTTATGGACGGGAAACTGGCACGTCTGTCAGGCAGCAGTGGAGACCGTCCTACAAAGAGGCGCACTACGGTCGATCCCAGAGTTTCTCAGCGACTCATCATTGGAGCATGATAATATCTCTGAGTGCACCGACATGTTCAAGCTCCAGCAATCCAAGCTAAATTCCCCGCCCAAGGTAAAAAAGCACCGCCTCGGCTCGCCGGGTGAACCTGCTAAGATTATGCAATTTGTTACGCCTCGATTATTCGCGCCTCGATATGCCGAAGTGCTATCTCACCACCGAGGCCGAGATCAAGTGAACCCCGGTTAGAAGATCCGTCGTCAATTTAAGATTTGTCCTGCACCTAAGGCTTAAATTGATTTGCCGTCTCCATGAGGCTATTTGATGTGACTTATCAACTTTATGTCAATTCAACTCGGGGGAAACAAACTGTCCGCCCACTCTACAAGCGCGGCTGATTGACGCCTATGAGCAGACGCTTCATACCGTCAGATGTACACACGCATCCCACATCCAGCGGTTCATACCACCTATAAATACCCAAGGTTTGGTAAGAGGTAAAGGGGATGAAACTCTCAATACATAGCATTCCATAACAAGTTTATATATTCTCCTCCCCCTTTATTGATTGATTTGTGTAGCCCTTGGGCACTGTTCCGATCACCGAAACCTGACTTGACCGTCGGAGTGTATACGGCCGCCGCCGCAACCCTTCGGTTCCGGCCGTGTGCGCCTGACCGTTTGTTCATTTCGCAGGGAGGAATACGTGGAGTAGCTATAAGTTGGCCACATGGAGGAGCCATTTTTGGAGGTCAACAGTTTGATGCCGTCTGTGGGAAACTCACTCCCCATTTGGAGTTTTGCGTTCCCCATCGGAGAAGACACCGGAAAACCGGCGACTGACCCTGAAAAGGGGGCATTCTTGAAAAAGAACAAAGTCGAATTACAATCCAAGTTCTTACTACCCTTAAAAAAAAGAGGTAGGATGAGCTACAGCCGTGAAGACAATCCCATGAGAGAGGCCTCTGAAGAAGAGGTACTCCATAACAATGTTACTCATCAGAGACCGCATCACCGGCGTCGACGAGGCGAAAGAACAACCATACTCATTGAAGGAATGGCCCAGATAGCTGCGGGTATGAGAGACATAGCAGCTCAGAATATGGCGATGCGGGAACTTCTCATGCAAGCCCAGGGACACCAGAGGCCCCAAGGATCTTATCTGGTACAGGAAATCCCTTTGTCTCACTCTCGAGGCCACATGAGCCGGCACACAGAACGTCCTCTCGAAAGAGAGGGGAACACCGAAGCGACATCTTATGTGCAAGAGAGTCATCCATCAGAACCACTCTTGGGGGACAACTTTCCTCAAGAACACCATGACCAGAGGTCAGTGAGCGTCTTCAACCGGATAGGGAATGATCCTAGCAATAGGGTCCGCCCGCCAAGAGGGTCGGTCCGGTCAGACCGCGAAGAAGAGCGTGTTTCCCCTCCTCCTAGAAATAGGAGGGAGAGGAGAAATTTAGTCGATTGGGG